GGAATGGCACGAATTCCTTCCGCAGCGGCCGAAGTGAGATCAGCGCGGCCGCCTCCCCGGGGTCATCCTGAGGGAGAAGCAGCGAAGGGCGAGAGGGTCAGCTGCCAGCCCGGGGCCGCAAGCAGCCGGGGCCGTAGGGCGCGCTGAGAGGGGTGGGCGGCCGGGGGTAACAGCCCCTAGCTGGAGCGCACTCGGCCCGGGCTGACAGCCAGGCACCCTAGAGGAAGAGGACGAGAGGGGTGGTACCTCCCGCGGGAAGCAGATTCGGGCCAGCCTGGGGGCGTGTCGGCGCTGTTACCTCCGAACTCTGGGCGCTGCGCGCGATCCACCGCACAGCGGCTGCGACCGACAGCTCCTCTCGCAGCAACGACTCCAAAACGGCCGCCATCCCGGTCCAGGCGCTCGGAGGCGATTGCGCAGGCGCAGGCGCCGGCGCGCCACGGGAGCCCGAGGGGCGGGGCGACCGTTGGGCCGCGGGGTGTAGAGGGCGGGGCCAGGGCGGAGGGGCGGGACCAGGGCGGGACCGAGACCGGGACCTGGGCCGGCGGCAGCGGCGCTTCAGCAGGCTGAGGCTCCGCCCAGGCTTTGGCTCAAGGCCGCGGATGGGTCCGCGGTTCCCGACAAGAGAGGTACGGTGGTCCCCCAAGTGCAGCGCACCACTATCGGTGAGGCCCGGCCCCGGCAGCTCTGGCCCGAAGGCGACCTGCCGGGACTCGGGGACGCGGCGGGGGAAACCAAGGGCCCGGGAGAGCGGCCGGACGGTAAAGGTGATTCTCCAGAGAAGATGCCTATATTTTCTACGATAAGCACATTCTTTTCTTTCAAATGTCTTTCTAGGTTCAATCGTCACCACCCTAAAGAAGTTAGGCAAGGTCAAAATGAAGTTAAGCTAACTTTATCCTTTCTCAAAAGCTGAGTCTCCTGCCCATGCGGTACCAATGGTTTTCCCCATTCACCATCAACTGATTGATCATTTGAGACTTTAAGAATTCTTGCAGGGGGGCTTTTTAGGATCCTCAGCCCACAACCCTTAAAGTGCCTCAGCCCATCCTGCACATAGAATAGCCTAGTCTGTATCCCTTATACATTACACAAGGTTAATATGTGAGCTACTTTGCAGTTGAGAAGTTAACAGGCATATACATAATTAGCTTCTGGGAGCTTGAGTTATTTCTTAATTTCTCTTATTTCGAAAAACATCAGTCACCTCTTTGGATGTTGCTGCTCACTGAGAAATCAAGACAGGGAAACCAGGCAGAGAAAAACAAATGGCACTAACATTCCAGGCCAGACCAAATCAGGAAGGGTGAAGCAGTGCCCATGTGAATGCCTCCTGAGAGTTCCCCTGGTTCAAAGGAAGGTGGAAAGGAGAGAATGGTGGGAAGCAGAAATCACTCCAGTGCTACAGGGACATTTCCTACAGAGAAGGAAAAAGAACCTCCAGCCAGCGAGAGAATGTTGGATTGAAAGAGAGCTTTTAACACGTTCAATTTTATTACATGGGGAACCATCTCCTCATATCCCTGAACCCTGGTTTTTATCTGCAGGGATGGTGAACGCCTAGTTTCTGTTCAGTCCATTGCTTCTTTTCTAGGTCACTTCTGGATGTGGTACTGCATTTATAGAACACTTTCTACTCCCTGTTGATCTTGTAACCTCTGGTGCATTCAATAACTTTATCAGAAAAATAATATTTCCCACCTTTGAAATCCAAACCACCACACAAATAGAACTAGAGTTTGCATGCGGAATGAATATTTTATTACTAGATTATAAAAATAAAATACAAAATAATTTTAAAACAGAACTTAAAACACTGTACAAAGCTTTAATATCATACAAATGGGAAAATTAAATAAATAATTACACTTTTATGTACAGATGGCCTATACAAAAGCACTCCATGTTTCTGCCAATACTCTATGTCCTTGGTTGCCTGAGCAAAAATGCATAAAGAGGGCTGCTTGGAAGGGAAAGGGATACAATACCTTTGAAGGTATTTCAAAGAGCAATTCTCATCACTCTGATTTCATGAAGAGAAGAAAGGGAGAAAACTATGAAATTGTTAAATTACTCTAACTTACTGGTCTTGCTCGACAAGAGAGAATTCTGGTTTGTGGTTCCATCTGATTTAAGAGCTGCCAATAGTTCAGAACTTTCAAGAATTATATCTAATTCAAAGCTAGGTGTTTCCCAACTCCCTCTTTTTTCCTAAAAGCTGTGAACTTGTATGTAAATGGCCCAGTGAAATTCAGCACTTGGTTATTTTAGGAAAGGAGTCAGAAGGCGGGGGACCAGGAACTGTGCATGAGAAATGAGGGAGCTCAAGCCTGGGTCATCTGTTATTTTCTTTACTCAGTTCATCCAATCCAATTTCGGAGCCCCAAGTGGCACAGTGTTACATTTCCTTTAGCTTCCTATCTTTGTATATCTCTGAATGCTTTTTACCTTAGTGAACTAATTTACCTAAATGGTGAATAGTTTAAAAAGAAAAAAATCCCAAGGGCTTCCCCTTCCCTGGGTTGATCCCTAAAATAAATCACATTCAAGCTCTGGTAGGTTTGTTTATCCCTTGTGGATGAGAGAAGAACACCCAGACAGACCCCAGGTATGGTGAAGTGCCGTGCATGAAATTTTAAGGATTTAAACTGTATATTTTAAGAGGGAAAAAAAGCAACATATGGCAAAGGTAGTCTATATAAAAATTTGGTCTACCTAGTGTTTTTAACAGGGTGAGTGAACACTTAATGTACACAATATGAAACAACATTAAACTACTGAAAAGATAGATAAAATTTCCTATCGTTAGTGTGTAAAATTATATCATCAGCAAATTCTATAGTCACATGGGCTCAAAGGTCTGCCTCACTGAATCCTATTCTCTAGGTCAAGGAAGCCAGAACCCCCGGCCCAGGGTATCTGAGAGATATGTCAGTATCATCAGTGATACATACTGTGCCCACATCTGTCACTTCAATTAAAGAGGCAGATCTTGTTAAAGTTCCACAGGGCAATGAAGAAAAAGGCTTCATATCCTTTACATGTCTCCTTAAGACCAAGGATCCAGCAAAATCTAAGGAAATATTCAAATCATTACTGAGTAAAGGTTTCGGCTTGGCTATTCAGTGTCTTGAGATTGTGTATCACATCAAGCAATTTTCCAAACTTGCTTAAGGGGAGTAAACATCAAGCTTATGTTTTAAAAGTTGGAGCAGGTATTCACAACTGAATTAGAAAATGTACTGATGGGTCAAGACTTTAATATCATCACTTCATGTCCAGCCAGGGATTTGAGATGTGCAGCATCCAATTCCCCTTTAAATGAATAGGGAGATCCTTGTCCCATGTCCTGGAGTTACCTAAGAACTATAGGAATTCCCCATTTATCTCCTGCAGTTCTCCCTAGCAATGTTGGCAACAGATTCTGCAGGCTCCTGAGTCTAACTGGCTTAAATTTCTCATATTTCCAGAGGGACAGCCAAACTCTTGAGAATATCCAATGATATGTTTCCACACTACTCCCACATCCTTGAAGTATATACCAGAGTTCTATTGGATGAGGACAGGGAAGTGGGATGTCCTAACAACCACCTGGGGTTTTCAATGTACTACATCTTTCCATATGGTCTGAGGACTGGAACTGCCTCTGGTTCCCTTCTCTAAGTTAAGGTCTAAATATGCACCTGTGATTTCTGAACTTGGGTAAATACTGACATGTGAAGACTACCATAGTGCTTACATGCCTTAATCCATGCCATAATACTTTTTATATTAGAACACAGATAAATAACTATTCTGCAAATAAACTGTCTACAGAACCAAACTCAAAACTATACAGTTGTCACCAACCCGTTCTATCTCCTCAGTGATACACGTGCTGAAATATCTCTCCCTTTAGGCAAAGTCCCAACACATCTGTGGTAAATATGTATAAACAGAAATGGGCAGATTTTAAAACAATGAACGCAAATAACTTAATTCCAAAACACATGAACATGACAGAAGAAATGGTTCCCTAACATATGCCACGTTTTGATAGATATCAAGGAATGAAAAGTTTTAAAATGTGAAAATTTTGATTTTCAAGACTAAATCTAGACTTACCTACAAATAAATGTATTTTCAAATAGCCAGAGTAAGATGCATTTTTTGCCCTAAGACACTAAATTCTGAATTCTGGATCCTGTTTCTCCTATCACCAATTCCTAATGTTAGATTAAGAATGTAGTTCCTAGAACAAAGAATCCTCTGCTCTTCAGGGAAAAAGCATAATGTTTTTAATTCAAAGCTACTGGATATAGAAAAACTAGATATCGTTTTAACTGTCTGTGTCTGGGTTTATAAAACATGCACCAACACTTTTCCTTGTCAATTGAATATAACCATACAAACATTCACATGAAAATCTGTGGCCTGGAAGGAATCTCTGATGACTACAGAAGAACTTCAAATTCCCATAGTGGCTAAGAGCGAAACAGATACTGCACCCTAGTCCGCTGGATTAGTAAGCAGCTGAGATTTGTTAAGTATTTAAAGCAAACAATATAGAGTGGATAATGACAACAGTGGGTCTCAATTACCATTTTGCCACTAATTTAGGACTTGATTAACTTGTTAACTCAAGAAAACCCCCCCAAAACAAAAAAGCATTCACTCCACAACATGCAACTTAAAAAACAGTAAATGTAACTAGGCCACTGTCAGCAAGGCTAGCTTGCACACCAAGTTGAGAATAAGAGTGCCTACTTAAGACTTAACATTCGAAAATGTTTATAATCTGTGCTTTAAAGTTAAATTTGATATGACCCAATTTTCATTCTTTGTTCACTACACATTAAAGTTAAATGCCTTTAAGCTGTGCAAAAGACTGCTATGTAGAATTTTAACATTTCAAACAATCTACACCCTGGAGATTTGGCAGCATAATTTAGGAATAATGCTACCTAAAGGGACTGAACTGCTGCTAATTCCATCTTCTGCTCCACCCAAGTAATTCCAAAGACTAGACAAGGGAGGGTAAGGGCAAGTGTGACTAGGTAACTAGCCATTTTATTGTGAAAGGAGAAACTAGGAGGCACCTGGTTTTCAAAAGATAATTTTAACTTCTGCCCCATACTACTCTTAATATAGTTTGGCTTGACTTTAATTGATGGCCATGTCCCTCACCTTAGGTAGAATAACCAAACTGGTTTAAAATCAGTTGGATGATCTATGTTTGTCACTGAAATCTGAAATATGCCATCACTAAAAAAGTTAAAAATAAATAAAAAAGAACTAACTAACAACAACAAAACCCAACTCATTTTCTGTATCATACTCTAAAATAAAACAAAAACAAAAATCCTTGTGCCAAAAGTGCTTTGCTCAGGGCTGCCAACATCTCTTTTT